GGCTTCCATTTGGAGAAGAGAAGCGAGGAGCGGGGTGAGTGTGTGTCCTGTGTGTGCGTGCCTCATCAGGGGGATAAGGGAGACATTGTCTCCAGGGAGGGCGCCGGAGGTCTGCAGTGGGGAGTATCTGTCATTAGATGTGTATTTGAATGGTTTTTCTCCCATGTGCATATATCACTTAATGTTTAATTTTCATTAATGTGTTCAGCAAAAGCTTATTCAATGCCTTTTTAAATGCCAGGTACTGTGTAAGACTTGGGGCTGTGATGGGAGCAAGATGCCGTCTCCCCCTTGAGGACCAGCACAACACGGGACTGTGAGCAGTGGCCACAGCCGTCATGCTGTGGAGAATAAGAAGGAGCTCAGCCATGCGGAGAAGCCACTCTGCTGGTGCTAGAGACAGTTCTCCCTGGGCGTGTCTCGGGAAGAGGACGTCTGTGAAAGGGGCTTGTTGGACAGAGACGGTGCTTCCATCTGGACTGAGCACAATAAATGAGAGAGCATCGTTCTCCGGAGCAAAAGCTGGGCAGGGCACCAGCAGCCTCCTTGGGACACTGGGGGCTCCTCAGCTGTGACACAGACGGCCGTGGGCACTGCATCACGTGGGACTTGGGAAAAGGGAACTATGCGAACATGGCTCCCAAGCTGCCCATGTGCCAGGAGCAATCAAGTCTGTCTCTCGCCCAGGGTCCCAAGTCTTTGGCAGGCATCAATGAAACCGTGCAAGCTAACTTGTCAGCTTGCAAGGAGGGGAAGTCCAAACCCCTCACAGTTCTTGACAAGTAGATCCAAGTCAAAGAAAAGGAAGTTTTTTAGTCTAGCACCTCCCATGGTGCTGGTCCTAAGCTAACATTCGCCACCATACCCCATTTAGCCGTGCACCTTAATGGGACCGCTCCGAGTGTGGAGCTATGAAGAAAATACAGGTTTCCCCCTCTGCTCTGCCCAGACGCAGGCCACAGCCCCTCCAGATCTAGGCGTAAATAATACAAAGTCACATAAAATTTCCTCTCCACTCTGTGCACAGGCAGGAAAACTGGGCAAAGCCTGAGTGGCTGACTCATTCCCTCCCCTCTGTAGGTCAGCACAGACCGCTACTAGGGAACAGTGCCAGATTTTAGCTATGTTTTTAGGCATCGGTGGCCTCAGAGCACCTCATACATCTATTAGTAGGATTAACTTAGTCTTATCGATGAATCAGTATTAAATGACAAAGCCTAAATACCTCCCAAGCTTTTCTTTCTTATACAGTGTATTCTTTAAAAGGGTTTAGAATTGAAATTGTCTTTTGACTGGATTTATGTGTTTGCATTTGCTTTAGATTCAGCACATAATAAAAAGAACTCCTCGTCAGATTTATACGCATTACCTTGCTAAATTGAAAACTAGTTTTTCCTTGTTTCTGTTTTCACACCAACTTCTTAATCCTACAGAATTTAAAAGTATGCACTACAGACCCTCTCGCTTCTAATTTCATGAAGCAAATGTACACTCTCCTCTCATCTGGTCAGAATGCGTTCACTTACTGCTTCTGGTTTACCTCGTCTACAGTATCTTTATTCTGGTAACTTATTACTATTTATATCTCTGGCATTTGAGCCATGCATATTTCAACGAGTAAAAAGGAAAAAAAAGGAATTTAGAACACAAGTTGTCCCTCTTTACAGAAAGCTGAAGGGTGGCCAGGCTTAAACCCAGTCACATTGCCACTTTTCTCCTGAAGGGCGGCTGGCCTGGTAGCGGGCTCTTCCTGCAAGTTAAAAGGTGAAATGAGTCACAGGCAGATATTTTGGCTATAGAGCTAATATTAGTAATAAGAGCCTTCAATATAAGAAAATGTCCAGGACTGATACTTGTCATTGCAAGAAAACTGAGTGACATCATTCTCCACCACTCCAAACAAGGAAGACCTTTTACGGCCTTCATCTAAAACTACCATGTTCTTTCTGCTTAAGCTGATGTCAAGGTGAACTAGTGATTTTCAAAGACTCTGCCCTTCGATATTGCCATCCAGCTGTCTGATGTGGGTCACATACAGATCACCCCTGAGAAACTCTGAACCGAGGCAGGAGGCACCTGTGACAGAGACTCTATTGAATATCTAAGATGTCTTGACCCATCTTTGTACTATGAAGTGCTGTCCAATGGTGGGGATAGGCCTGAGTGGTCCAGCCATCCCAGAGAGAGCGATCCGGCAGCTCACAGGATCTGCCTGCCTGTCCTGCAGGAGGTCTGCCGGTCTCCTGCAAAACTTTTTTTAAAGAACTAGTTATAAACTTTTAAAGAAATTGCAATATTTTAGGTAAAGTTTGCATTTCGAATATTCTCTGAAAATATGAAGCTGGGCAATTTGGAACCTGCATTTCCTCACAGTAACAACCAAGGGTTGTAAGGAGACAGTCCCCAACATCCCCACTGCCCCATGTGTTGCCCCTGCCCAGCCACAAGGCCGTCAGCTCTCCCATAGGCCGACACGTTACCCTCCTGAAGGGTTGGCCAGGGACTACGGGTGAGACCTGTGCCTTTGGAACAGAGTAAAATTAAAAGGACATTGTTTTGAATGAACTAATGCCACACTCCATCTATGTGAGGTAACCGGTAATAAAGAATTTTTCATGTACAAAAAAAGCCCGATTGTGGTGACCCTAACACCCTATTTCAGAATGGCAGAAAACTTAACTTCCCTGAACTAGTCCCATTTCTCATCACACAGCACCTGTCAAGTGAGTCACGGGCACAAGGCCCCTCCACCCTGCTCTGCCCACTCTTCAGCCAACCCCAGGCCAACTGTGAGGGGATTCCTCTGAGGGAAAGTTATGAGCCATATGCTGTTTTTTAAGTGTTAAGTATTCCTTGTTGCCCACTGAAATAGTGCCAGTGTTCTATTTGTTAACAAAATGTTCTTGATGAATGTGGGAAATTAAAGAAGAACAAGAAAGAAGCATGAAGTATTCCAGGAGCTTTTCCCTAAAACATCAGTTGTGAGAGGAGCAAGGAAGGGGAGCAGTTGCCCAGCTGCAGGCTAGGGGCAAGTGTGCCCTCTGTAAGGGATCCATCAACAGTAATAAAACCGAGCACAGCTTGGTCTGCTTTTTCATTATGACCACGTGCCAGCAATGTCAACTGCACTCTTCCTCCCTTCCCCATTTTGGGAGTGTCTGTGTGTGTCCACAGCTTGTGGCAGAGGGCCTGGGAAGTACGTCCGGAAGCAGGCGGCAGGAATGGGCAGCATGAGGTCCCACAGAGCCTATGAATGCCCTTCGGACACTGGAAGATGAACTCCCGTGAAGAAGTGGTTCTGTTCACTGCTGCTCCAGGGGAACAGTTAATGCCAGTGAGTGAACACCACTTGTGGGCAGCCTCAGAGCGCGTCAACGACCTGACCAGCAATAATGGCATGAGGGGTAGAGTTCCCAGTGCCCAGGAGTCTTCGGACGGCCAAGGGTCACCTACGGAGGATGTAGCAGACAGCATGCTGGCCTACCCGTCTCCATGTAGGAGGTTTCATGGATGGTGCTGCTGGGATCTGGGTTCACTGGCCGCTCACCAGACGATTCTAAAGTCTGGCTCCTCTGCATTTATTTTTCCTAAGTCTCTTAATTTTCATTGAAGGGAACAGACCTCAGTGGCCATGAAGATTGTTTGGTCTCGAGGTCCTGGTTGGCAGGACCCGTGTCTCATCTCTCCTCAGAGTTGGCTAATGGTCAGCACATGGCTTTGCATAAGATTGGCACTCGGTTCACATTAGCTGTGGAGCTGAGCTACTTCATTTGCCTTTCCCTGGTCAGGGCTCCACCAGACCATTTGGAAGATGCGGCCTGGGGACCATGTATGTGTTACAAAAATTACAGATCTTTAAGCCTGGAGGAATCCTGGGGTCAGAGACGTCATTTTTCAGCTGAGGAAGTGGAGGCTCCACAGGGGACCAGAAAGGACACAGGATGCTTATTTCAGTAGCCGTCTGAAGCCCTACTGCCCAGCGTGGGAGCCACTGGGGGCTGCAAGTCCCTGAAACATGGTGGGTCCACATTGTGATGTGCTGTGAGTGCAAATCAAGTGCTGGATTTTTAAGACCCAATATAAAAAAAATTCAAAATTTCTCATCCATGTTTTATATTGATTTCAAGTTTAAATGATAATGATTTGGACATTTTTGGATAAAGTATATTAAAATTAATTTCACTTTTCTTTTACTTTTTTAATGGGGCAACTAGAATATTAAAAATTATCTATGTGGTTCACATACTATTTCTTCTAGGCAGTGCTGGTCTAGAACAAAGCTTATGTGTGTAACTTCTGGTCTCAAGTCCCTCTGCAGGACAATAAACTGTTTTAACACATATTTACTTTGATTTTAACTTTTGTCTTGAAAATGAATGGAGATGAAAGACAAAAGGTTTTTGCTAATGTTATAATTTGGGTGCTATCACAGAACCTTCTGAATTTATAGACTTGTGAATGTGCCTAGCTGGAGTGCATGTGGTCCCAGCATGTGCTCTTTGACCTGGAGAAAATAAAATGAGCGAATTCACTGTATTCACAATAGGTCTGTCTTCAGGAAAACAAAAGTCTCATTTCCCTGTTTAATTTCTGATGTTTCCACCATTCTTAACTGTACTAAAATCATCTGTGATGTGACTAAAATTTTTAAGTACAAGAAATCAGATAAATACTCATTCCATGGAAAATGGAGTTGCTTTTGCAAAGCATAACAATGCCCATGAAATTACTTTAGTAACTGTTGCTATTATGTCAAACCATGGATATTGTTACTGTTAAGGATAAAAGCTTTCTTTTAAAAGGTTTATTATGGGAAGGATTCCCCGGCCCCCAATATTCATATGAGTTTTACCAGCAGTTCATTAAAAAACAGTAGAAACAGACTTTTTTTTTGAAAATGCAGGTGACCTTAAAACATCAATTTTTAGAGTGAGGCGTGAGCTATTTGCCTGTCAGCTTATCCAACTGAGACTGTTGTACTCACCAAGCCGCTACCTTACCTTTGTATTTTTCTGTTTGAGTCCTTAGAAGCTCTGTACATTTTGTCTCTTCCTCCTGTATTTCCAGATGAAATCGACATTCTGGGTGAACACTGGTCACCTGGTCAAGGTTTAAAAAAATGCCAGTAACTAAAAATTTCACCATTAAGGGGAAAGTTAAACAACACTTCTACAAAACAAAACAGCTCATGGTTCTAAACTGTTCCCCAAATAACACTCACTTAAAAGCAATCACCTTCATATTTCTGGCACGGTTATTTAAAAAAAAAATTACTTTGTAAAGGACTCATAACACAAATATAAACCTAATAGAAATTTTTTTTTCTGAGCAGGAAAACAACTTACTAACATAATACATTGTATGTTGTTGGTACTAATTTGGCAGCAGCAGAGTTTTTTAATCCAATGATCTTTCAATATTTGAGTCCTCCATTTCATAGCCCTTGATTTAATTAAAGTACATACATGTCTACTCATAAGACTATTCTTAATGACCACACGCTATCCCCAGACACCAGCACTCCTCATTTAAGGACAGTCTCTGTACTCACTGAACAGGGCACTAACGGGATAACTTTATCTGTAGAGCCTGCAGGTCACATCTGAAACTTTAGAATTTGGCGCGAAGAAGATTTTCAAAAAGATTAGAGGGGTAAGTAGGGAGAGGAAGAGGGAGCAGGGTGTTATTTATCACTAAACAAGAGGTGGGTGATTTCCCATCGTGATCGGTCACAGGAACTAAAGTTGCGGCACAGATAGTGATTAGTATTGCCTATTAATGTGTGCAAAAGACAAAATTGCACATTTCAGTCTTAGAATAGTCTCTGATCTCTGTTTTTATGAAAATCCAACGTTCTCTTTTTTTATTTCTCCCCACCCCAAGTACTCAACCCTCCTGTGTCTGAACAAAATTCTACTTTTCCTGTAAGACTATCATACTCTGGGTATGTTACGGCCACCTGTATTTAATTACCCCACTATCAAAATGCTTAATTAGGACTCTCACCAGGAATAAAGTTCCTAAACAGAATTAAAAGAAGTAAAGGCTGATACTTTTGCCACATTCACCCTCATTTTTAAAAAGACACAAAGTTCCTCCTCCCAGGCTCATTACTGGACAACCACCAACTGTTAGAAACTCCTGGTTTCAAACAGACCGTACTTTTCCTATATGAACAAGTCAATGGTCTTTAAGTTTCAGAATTGTGAAAATTATGTTGACTTAAAAAATGTTTGTCAAGGTATAAAAAGACACTATGGTTCCTGACATTCTTTAATATGCAGAGCAATGACTTACTTTGGGAACTCTTAGAAATCAAAGCTGCATTAGCCAGAATAATTCCTGGTACGTCTAACAAACTAGATCTTTCAAAGCATTAAAATTACTAACAAGGGTCTTCTTAAACCTCCACTCCTCTGAGGGAGGACAGACCCGGTAACCTTCATACCAGGCAAGGGAGTTTCGTAGGTTCTCACCCCCTAAATAATGAGATACGCTCAGCAATGACAACCTCCCTACACAGCTCTGTCCTTGGCTTCACAACCTCAGAGGGGCTATGAGTCCAGAGGGCCGGTGATGCGGCTGCCATACGGGCAAACGAGCAAGCCCGGCTTCCGCGTGGGAGGAAGGCAAGCCCCCGGGTGGACAATTTCCTTCGAGTACAAGGAAGAACTCCTGAGAATTCGAGAATCCAGTCATGCAGCCCTTCAACAAACCACTGTTGAGTGTGTTATCTGTTCCAACAAGGGTGAGGGAATCAGAATATTTCCGGAAGGAAACTTTCTTCAGCCACACCGTCTCCCTCCGAAACACACTCAAGCAAATACAAACCAGTGACAAGTACAAGGAAGTGGAAGGAGAAGTATTCAGTGACAAGGCAAACTCCAATTTCCCTCGGGAATGTGAAGCCCGCGCAGGTGGCCGCAGCCCTGACCCCTGTCTCTCGCTCGAGGCGACGCGACGGCCAGGCACCGCCAGCCTCACGCCTCGGGGAAGAGGCGGCCGAAACCAGCTCCTCTTTGACTAGCGTCTTGGAGGAAAGTGGATCCTGCTTCTAGCAAACCCAGGGCGGCAGACGGAACCGACAAATGCATGCTCCCTGCCCGAGTCCTAGCTCTGACCCGCTCCCCAGACGGGACCCCGTTCCGGACTCCGTTTCCGACCGCGTTCCCGACCCCGGACCCCCGACTGCGACCGGCCCGCCCCGAGCCCAGCGCCTGGACGCGGGAGGGAAGCGCAGCCGGCGCGAACCGCGCTCCTCTCCCGGGAGGGAGGACGCGTGTCGGGGTGGAGGGAGGGAGGGCGGGGGTCGCAGGACGCACTCACGGGGGCGAGCAGCCAGCCACAGCAGGTCAGCAGCGCCGGCGGCAGCAGCGCGAGCGCCCTCATCGCGGCTCGGCGGATGCCAACATGGGCCGAGCCGCGGGCGCGCACCCCTGGCTCCGGCGGTCGGAGCGCCACGCGCCCTGCAGCTGCCGCGGGGCTGCTGGAGCGCGTGGGCCGGCCGCCTAGTTGCCTGCCGGCCGCCGGCCCTGGGTGCACCCTGCGCCCGCCGGCTCCGCCCCCCGCGCCCGCGGCCCCGCCCCGAGGCCTTCCTCCCCACGGCCCCCAGGTCTTCCTGGGTCTTCCTCTCGGCGCCCCCAGCTCCTCCCCTCCCAGCCCCGCGCGCTCTACCCCCTCCCTGGGCCCCCGCGCTCCCTCCCTCGGACCCGCGTCCCCACCTCGCGCCCCCTCCTGCCAGGTACCACGCCCTCCGGCCTTACCCCGCGCCTTCCGCGGCTGGAGGAGCGGTGAGGAGACGAGCGCAGGTAGGCGAAGGGCTTGCAGTGCCAGCCAGACTCCAAGTGGAGAGGTCAGGGGAAGGGCGACTTGGGAGTGACCCTCTTTGGGAACAGGGAAGCAGGACTCCAGGCGTGAACCGCCATGGGTTTGCACCTACTTATGTCCTACTTGTTAAATAATAAGCTAAAGACGCCCAAGAAAATGTCAAGAAACCCAGTTAGGGTGGGTGTGCTGCCTTCGAAGCCAGTGGGGTTGGGTTGGAGCAACTGAAACTTAAGAAAAAAATTAGAGTGCATTTGGGTGGGCAGACTTCCTGTGGCGGTGGGTCCTGCCTGAGTCAAGCCAGCAAAGCTTTTCTGTCCTCCAGAGTGGCTGCTGCAGAGGGGCTTGAGACAGAAATGGGCATTTCCAGAAGCATCCTGTAGGCTCCTAACATCCCAGAGGATTACTTTAGCATTAGAGCTAGTTGCTATCCAGCAAATGGAAAAGCATGTAGAAATGAAAAGTGAAACAGGTAATTTTTGTTGTGGTTTTAACTTTTCGTGTGAAAATAGTTTCAAACTTACACAAAAATTAGAATAAGAAGAGTACAAAGAATACCCTTTTACCCTTTAATTAGATTCAGCTATTAAAGTTTTACCCCATTGGCTTTTTATCATTTGTGTCCTCTCGGACCACCCTTACCCCTCCCCACATGTATCCATCAGTATCTATCAGTCATCTGTCTATCATCTGTCTACCTGTCTGTCATCTATCATTCTCTCTGATGGGGAGCAGTATTAGAGGCCAAGATCCAGGTGCTCTAGGTGGATGCAGTGTGGGCTCTGGAAGCTTAGTGACCTTGGGACCAATTTGGTAAAGATTCCTTTTACTCACTGTTCAACCCTGGACAAGTCAAGGGACTTCTCTGAGCTATATGTCTATTTGTAAATGAGAATAATGATGCCTGCCTTCCACCTCAGAGGGTGGCTATAAGAATCAAGATCATTGATGCATGCATACATGTTTTGTTGTTGAGGGCCCACACTCTAAACATTACTACATTGGGTTCAGGACAAGACACAAGGTGTCTTCCCGTGTAGGAGTTCATATCATGGGAAGTAGGTGTGAAGGTAATGAGACGCAGGCTAATGGGAGAAGGAGGAGTTGGCTTCCTCTGGGAGACACTGGAGGAGTCGACACCTACATGTGACAGGCTAAGAAGAATGGTTATGAGTGAGAGATCAAGGGTGGAGATAGGAAGCATCTCAGAAGCACCAAGGAGAAACGAATGTGCTGAGAGCATCAGAGAAATCAAGAAGTATGGCCAATCTGGGAGGCTTGAGAACCTGAAAGATCATCTTGACCCAGTGGAGGACAAAATCAGTATTGTATGAGAGGCAGAATTATATAGCCTCCAGATGGAATGAATGCACAACAAAATGTTCTTTAATTCTGACTGTTCTTACCTTGTTCCAAATTCCCACTGATGTTGGGATGGGCGGTACTGTCTGTTTTGGGTAAGTCCTCACTCTCCCAGGAATTTTCCCACTTTCCTTGTAGGGGGGCCTATGTGTTCTGAGGGCTGAAGGAGGGGTTCTTCCACGGGTGCCTGATATGGTAGACCAGTGGCTTTGTTTCTGCACCTCTGGCACTGGCCTTGCTGAGGTGTGGTAGCCCCCGATTGGCTGTGCTGACACTTTGCAAAAGCCTTGGTCCCTGCCCTGCCCTCTGGTCACAAGGGCCCCACCACTGCCTCCTGCTCTCGGGACCACTTCTGACCACACCTACCCTCAGCACCTGCACCTGCTGATGTTCTGAGGCATCTGGGAGGGGGCAGGGACTGTGGGACACTTCAGCTGCCCTCCCCACCTCCTGCCTGGACACCCCTTTTGCCAGGACCCCCTTGCCCACACAGCACACACTTCCTGGCATTGTTTTTTGCCAGTGGCTTCCCTGGGTTTTTCTGGCTCAGCTCTGAGTGGAAGAACCAAATCTCCTGTGGTGGAAGCTGAGCAGATTAGAAGCTCAGAAACCTGTTGATTTAGTGAAGGGAAGACTTAAGGCTTTGTGGTTACAAGAGAGTGAAATTGATCAAAACTAAATACTTTCCAAAAGAGAAAAGTAAGCTTTGAATACATGACTCTGAGGTCCTTCTGGTCTTTCTGCTGAGACTAGATGAGTGACTCCGGGGACCACATCTGCTAGGGTGGAGGGTCAGGCCCACATCCCACAAGGACTTTGTTAACTTGTACCTATGAGGAAACTCACCATTTGCTGTATCCCAACTTATGTGTATTTTAAAAGCCTGGATGTTAGAATTCATTAAAACATCTACTTTCTCTTCCCTCCTAAAAAAAGCCTGGGGTGTTAGAGACTGCTTTAAGTCATTTGCCCACTCGCAGCTGTGTGTTGGGGGGATCAGCAGGTGCTCACAGGAATGCCCTTTGGGACCTGAACCCTGGCCTTGCACTTCATCCATAGAGCACATCTCCTGTGGTTGTGTTCTAAGTTCCTACAAGCACACAGCAGCCTGGCCCCTTGGTGCCTGAATACTCAGGGAACCCTGGAGCACAGATGCTCAGTGCATCATGTCACACAAGACTGCATTAGTTTCCCAGGCTGTGGCGTAGAATTCCTAATATGTGTGTGGCCTACTTCTCAAGGTGCTTACAAAGATAAAAATAAAATATGAGCCATGTGCATGGATGTGAAGTGCTGCCTTAGGGATGTGCCCCCTCAGCCCCACTGCCAGCTCCAGCTCCCTGGGTGGACAGATACAATGCAGCCTCTGGCCCCAGAATGGGTCAGTGGCATCTGGGCTGCTAGTATGCCCGTGCTGTTTCTGGCCCTTCCTATTTTCAACCGTAACCAACCTATCCAATGAGATGGATTCATTCGAGTAAATTCCCCTTATGCCTGTGGCTTTGTAAGACCCTGGCAATCCTCGGTCCTTTTCTGGTGAGGATCTCTTTTCCAGAGAGCAAAGGCCCAGTGCCATGGGATAACAAAACTCCCAGCTGCTTAATTAAAAAGGTCTCACTACCCTCCTCTGCCCTAGCCCAGTCCTGCACCAGGCCCTGAACCTGGGGCCGGGAGCTGTGCACAGCATGGTAAGGTAGGAGTCTCCTCTCCCACAGGCTTGCCTCCACACCCCTTCACCACTGCAGCTTGGGCATCCTCCAGGTCGGGGGGGGGGCAGGGAAGAAAGCCCTACTTACTGGCCCAACATGGGCTGCTTGTGAGGTCCACAGGTCTCCCTTGCTCCTGCCATCCTCGAGACCCTTCAGCTATAGCCCTTTGGATGTGAAGGATGCCTCTCAGGATGCCTGCAGCTTCCACAGGTTTCGCTTCGACTGGGATTATCTTTCCTCTCCAGACTGTCCTCCTGAAAGAAAGATTTTGAAGATGGTCCATGGGAGTCGACAGCTGGCTAATGGGAATAAAAACGCACCCTTTGTTTTGCCAAATGGAGGCAGCCAGCCAGATGCAGCCTCACCGTCAGGCTTCCCAGGCGTCAGAGTCGCTCCTGCTTCCTTTGGAGGACACAGGCCAAGCTCCCCAAATGGATCTTGAGGTGCTTCACTTGGGTTGAGGGAGGGGAAGCACCCCCTAGCTCCCTGGTGGAGAAGGGCAGTGTTGAGCACAGTGGGGTCTCTCCTCTGAGTCTTGCCCTGCTGGCCTCCTTCTCTAACTCAACTTGGAACAGAGCCTTTGGCGTCACTCCCTTGGCAAATCCTCTGTCGATGGCCTAGCACCTCACTTTGAAATGTGGGCTACTTTTCATACCTTTCCGGCCTTTGAGTTTAAGTGCTGACATAACTGGCTGAGTCGCCTTTGATGTTCTTTACCTAGCTCTCAGCTGAGCTTGGCCCAGAGGCCTTCAGAAGAATCTGAAGAGGGTCTGTCCCTTGGGAATCCCCCAGAGTAAAAGGAAGTCTGGTGGTGGTGTGTAAGATGCATCTGGAAAGATGTGATTTTGTAAACAGAGCATATTCTTTCAAGCAGTTACATGCTCACAGCAGAACTGAGTGGGAAGGATAGGGTTCCCTTGTCCCCTTCACCTTTCCACCCAGTTTTCTCTTTTTTCCCTTTAAAATTATTTTTACTGAATCATGAATGTACAACAGCTTCTTAAATCTACACACGCACCTACATTTTTTTAAAGGAAAAATCTTATGTTTTATTATGCCATGATCCTGGCTAATAGCTTTTCAAAACTTTGAGAAAAATCTTTGAAAAGGTTTCACATGTCACCTGAAACACACAAATTTAGCATTATCAAAGAAGGAATGCTTCTACACTCTTACAAAGATCACTAGAAAGAAACAACAATTAAAAAGCTAAGGAACTGTCTCAAAGGCATTTTTTTTTTTTTACAATCCTTCCTCCACAGTAAGGTACTGTTATGAATCCAGTCCATTCACAAAATGGCTCTCTGCATCTGCTCTGGTGCCCTCTGTCATATCACTGCATACTTACACATGACTGAGATACGGGTTTCCTTCACACTGTTACTTCAGTAACCTGAATCTGTTCTGTTACCTCTGGGCTCTCACCCTCTCCTGTGTGTAGAGTGAAGCCCATACAGATAGGGAGAAGCTCAATATCGGCTTCTCCCTGCATAACCCCACAGCTTCCACTGCCTCCAGGACCCTAGTTTCCTCCACCATATGGTCTCCCCATGTTCCTGCTACCACCAAAGCTTCCACTCGTCATTGGACCACCAGTAGAAGGTTGCTGGTTA